GTCGACTGTGGCTGGTGGCACGCCCGTGTCCACGATCTCGTCGCCTAGCCCCTCTGCCCAGCCTTCCGCTCCGGTACCGACACCAGGCGCCTCCTTTACGCAGACATCGTCGGCATCGGGGTCGGAAGAGACAGATCCTCCGCCGGCCAACGGCAACGGTAGCCCGTTCGAGAATATGCAGGCTGCTGCTGGGAGGTGGTCGTTGCCAACACCTGGAATGGCGTTGGGAGCTTTCGCTGCGCTGGTGATGCGCATGTAGATGGTGTCCCAAAGCATGCGACATGACGATTCCGAACCATTTACTTGAGGAATGCGCCAACCACCCCGATGATTAGTGTATTTGCTTTTGGAAGATTCGAAGATTCGACAAGGTGAGGTTGTCTCGTAGTGCAACAACCTCTACCGCTCGATTTGCTGTATGATACCTAGATATGATGAATGCTCGATTATGAAAGATTACCACCCCAAGACCGTCCTCACGAGATCAATAAAGTCCTCATTGCGAAGTTGTAGTCAACCCTCGTAAACCCTGATCGCCGGAATGCCAGCGGATGACTTTGGTCCACGCGCATCATTCCACCGCTTTGTCCCCGCAAGCCAATGAAAGCAGATCTAATGCCAAGTCGGTCCTCCAGTCCTTGCACAGGAATGAGACTCGCAAGCTGCACCTTCTTAAGCCCCATCAACACTTCGCATCTCGCCCAGGGCCTATTCTCGTCTCATCTCGCGTGTCCAGCGGATTTGCATGTGCTTCAGCCTCTAGCTCGGCCGACGCAATTCATCCGCCCTCCGACGTGAAAACCTCCGACGGGCGACTTACCTAAAACAGGGCCAACGAATCAGCGTGCTCGCATTCCGCAACGACGACCGAGGCATCTTGCTCTCCAAGCAACAAAGTGGTCCCAACGCGTCAAGGAGGTAGCATTCGGAGCGCGCGAACGAGTCCAGTTTGTTTCAGTGCGTCATTATGCAAACGACGTGGCATGAGTGAATTTCTTTCTGATACGTTATAGATAGAGCGGGCTGTCCGACCACCAGCAACGGTCAACACATCGACTTCAACAACCAACGAGCGTTTACTTTGATTTTTTGGACTTGCACCTTCTTCCTTTTATTATTTGTACCTCAACATGGCGGAGCTTGAACCCATCCCCGGCCCTCCTGGCCTGCCCATCGTTGGCAACATCACAGACATCGATGCCACAAATCCCATACAGTCTATGTGTAATCTGACACTGAAATACGGTTAGTAATTCTCTTGTTATACCTACCTTGCTGTTCACTCCTTGCACAAGGACTGAGTTTAGATGCGAATCTGCGAGCCGAGAGCTAATGAGTGCAGGCCCGATATGGAAGTTCTACCTTGGCGGCGAGCGTGTCGTCATCGCAAACCAAGCTCACATGGACGAGATCTGTAACGAGGAGCGGTTCTCGAAGATCATAGCGGCATCACTAGAACAGGTCCGCAACGGTGTCCACGATGGCTTGTTCACATCCTACGGACCACAAGAAGAGAACTGGGGTATTGCGCATCGCGTTCTGCTTCCTCAACTCGGCCCGCTCGCCATTCGCAACATGTTCAACGAGATGCACGACATTGCGTCGCAGCTCGTCATGAAGTGGGCAAGACACGGCCCTGAGCACACCATACACGTCACGGACGACTTCACCCGGCTGACTCTCGACACCATCGCCCTTTGCGCCATGGACTACCGTTTCAACTCCTACTATTACCAAAAGATGCACCCGTTCGTCGATGCCATGGCCGACTTCCTCAAGACCAGCGGAGACCGCGCAAGGCGAGACCCCATCTCGCAGATGTTCTACGGTGCCGAGTCGCAAAAGTACTGGAAAGACATCGAACTGCTCCGCAAGACCAGTCTGGACGTCATCAAGACGAGGAGAGAGAATCCGACTGATAAGAAAGACTTACTGAACGGCATGTTGAACGGTGTCGACTCCAAGACTGGCAAGAAGATGACGGACGAGAACGTCATTGACAACATGATCACCTTCTTGATTGCTGGGCATGAGACAACATCGGGCTTGCTGTCGTTCACCTTCTACTACCTTCTCAAGAACCCTCAGGCGTATGAGAAGGCGCAACAGGAAGTCGATGATGTGATTGGAAAGGGCCCTATCACTGTTGACCACTTGACGAAGCTTCCCTACTTGAACGCTGTGCTCCGCGAGGCTCTTCGTCTCCAACCCACTGCGCCTTCGGTCGGAATGACTGCCAAAGAAGACACTACGATTGGAGGAAAGTATGCAGTCAAAGCAGGCGTTCCTCTCGTTGCGTTGTTCCCGATGGTGCACCGCGATCCGGTCGCATACGGTGAGGATGCCGAGGAATTCCGACCTGAGCGAATGCTTGATGCTGAGTTTGAGCGACGCAACAGAGAGTTCCCCAACTGCTGGAAGCCCTTTGGCAACGGCATGCGAGCCTGCATTGGAAGGCCATTCGCCTGGCAAGAGGCCCTTTTGGTGCTTGCAATTCTTCTCCAGAACTTCAACTTCACCATGGAAGACGCGTCGTACCAACTCCAGATCAAGCAGACGCTCACGATCAAGCCCAAAGACTTCTACATGCGCGCGCATCTCCGCAACGGAATCTCCGCGACATCGCTCGAGCGCTCGCTGGCATCGGCTACGCTCAACGACCCACCTCCAGTGAATGGCGCACCCGCTGTCAGGAAAGAGAAGACCACCAAGGGCAAGCCTATGGCTATTTACTACGGCTCCAACACCGGAACATGCGAAGCGCTTGCTAACCGCCTTGCTGGCGACGCCGCAAACCATGGCTTCAACGCGGAAGTTGTGGACACTCTGGATGCGGTGCGCGAGAGCATCCCCACCGACAAGCCCGTTGTCATCATCACCGCATCCTACGAGGGCGCACCTACCGATAACGCCGCACACTTTGTCAACTGGATCGGTACTCTCAAGGGTAAAGAGCTGGAGAATGTCTCGTATGCCGTCTTCGGATGCGGTCACAAAGACTGGGCGAAGACATTCCACAAGATTCCCAAGTACCTGGACGCTACTCTCGAAGAAAGAGGCGCGACTAAGATGGTCTCGATGGGTAGCACCGACGCTTCATCAGGAGACATCTTCACCGACTTTGAGACATGGGAGGACCAAGTATTGTGGCCTGCCATGCGCGAGAAGTACGGATCATCAGAGGCCGATGGCGAAGGCTCGTTGGAGACAACACTCGACGTCGAAGTCACCGCTCCCAGGTCATCTACGCTACGTCAAGATGTTCGTGAGGCTCGTGTGGAGGAGATCGAGGTCCTCTCCGGCCAAGATGCCACGCAGAAGAGGCACATCGAGATCAGCCTCCCCTCGGACATGACATACTCAGCGGGCGACTACTTGGCTATTCTGCCTTTGAACCCCAAGGAGAACATCCAGCGCGCGATGCGACACTTCGGGTTGAGCTGGGATTCAATGCTCACTATCTCCTCAGCTGGCCCCACCACGCTGCCTACAGATACACCCGTCAGTGCTATCGATGTCCTTGGCGCGTACGTAGAACTCGCTCAACCTGCCAGCAAGCGTAATGTACTGGCACTTGTTGAAACTACACGTGACGAAGACGATAAGAAGGAGCTGGCGCGTCTCGCGGATGAAGACTTCAGCTCTGAGATCACAGCCAAACGTGTGTCGGTGCTTGATCTCCTCGAGCGGTTCCCCTCGACTAAGCTGCCACTCGGTATCTTCCTGAAGATGCAACCACCGATGCGCGTGCGCCAATACTCCATCTCGTCGTCGCCTCTGTGGAACCCGAACAACGTTACCCTCACATACTCTGTTGTCAACCAGCCCGCCCTCAGCGGTCAAGGCCAATACGTGGGTGTGGCTACTAACTATCTCGCGAACCTCGCGCCGGGCGACAGGCTGCATGTCAGCGTGCGCCCATCGCACAAGGCCTTCCACCTACCCAAGGACTCCAAGAGCGTCCCTGTCATCATGATGGCAGCCGGCACCGGTATCGCCCCCTTCCGCGGCTTCATCCAAGAGCGCGCCGCCCAGATCGCTGCCGGCCGCAAGCTAGCGCCCGCCATCCTCTTCTACGGCTGCCGCTCGCCAACCACGGATCTCATGTATGCCGACCTACTCAAGCGCTGGGAAGACATGGGCGCCGTCTCACTCCGCCTCGCCTTCTCGCGCAAGGCAGACGAGTCGCTTGGCTGCAAGTACGTCCAAGACCGTGTCTACCACGATCGCGCCGACGTCATCGAGCAGTTCGAGGCGGGCGCGAAGCTCTTTGTATGCGGCTCGCGCGGCGTGGGCGACGGCGTGCAGGAGACGCTGATTCGGATCGCGAAGGAGCGGTTGAAGGAGAAGGAGGGGCGGGAGGCGGATGACGCGAAGGCGAGGGAGTGGTTTGAGGGGCTCAGGAATGAGAGGTTCGCTACCGACGTGTTCGAGTAGGCGTAGATACTATACTGTAGAAGAGCAAAAGAGTCTACACCCGAATGACGCGCACGCGTTCTACTTGCACCGTGCCCCACTTACCTCCCCCACCAAAGTCTGCGCCACACCTTCACTCACCTTCATGTCTCAACACCCATCTCCACGCCGGTTACTTCATCTTGGCATCATGTCACGATATCGCGCAAAGTCTCGACATCCCACTCTTACTAGCTGAACGAAGCTTGTCGTCCGCCCAGCCAAGGCGCAGAGTTTTGCGCATCTTGCAGCGTGGAGGAGCTATGAACGAATCAGCTGCGGGTGATCCCGGTCTAATCTAATCTGATCGAATCTAATCAGATGATCACCTGCCACATCGATGCAGCTGCCATGTCCGACAACACTCCGAAAGGCTTCATACCATCGCCAAGACGTACGCAATAGGTGGAATGCGCCGCTGACACGATGGCTTGCCGCGGTAGAACCGGTGGCCTCATCGCGTTGCTTGTCGCACGCAAGATGAGGGGCTTTCCTCAGTTTTCTGGCCATCTCTTCGAGCTCTCCCAATCTCTCTGGAAGTAAAGATGGCGCTGCTGGACTTGCTTTCGTCGCCGAACGTCGAACGATTGAATGACCTGTTCCGATGGAGACTACTGCTACTTGCGGTGATCCCGCTCGCCTTGACCTACCTCGTGCGAAAGTTCACCAAAGCAAAGCCCCTCGATCTCAAGCAGTATTCGCATTTTCCACAACCTGAGCCAGCAGATCCCGTCCGAGGGCATTGGCCATGGGTTGAGAAGATTGCAGCCGAGGGTGATCCTCGACGCGCCTTCGATGAGATGCTGTACGAACAAGCTGAGAAGCTTGGATTTCCTCCGGTTCTACTCGTCGACTTCCGCCCGATTGAGAAGTTCCCCGTGCTCTTCATCCTGGACAACGATGTCGCGGAACAAGTCACCAAGCCGAACAAAGCATTTCGGACTAGCATGCCAAAGCATCCTTCTATCCAGCAGATAGCACCTCTGGTCGGCTCAAGGTCTTTGGTTACTACTGATGTAAGTAGTGGGTGAGCAGGTGTTGAGCTGTAGGCGAAGGTGCAGGGACTGACTATAAGCTACAGGGCGAGGAATGGAACGCGTTGTACAAGCGCATACGCCCGGGCTTCCAACCTAGCCATCTCCTTGGTTTGGTCGACGTCATTCTGGACAAATCCGAGACTTTCATCGAGCTCATGGAACAGAAGGCCGCGACTGGCGAAACCTTCCGTCTCGACGCCTACACCACGAACCTTGTCTTTGACATCATTGGAATAGTAACCTTCGACATGGATCTCAATGCGCAAATCGACGGGAAGCAGTCCGAAGTCCTGCTCACGTACCGCGCCCTCTCGCAAGCCTTCAACAAGCGACCTTTCGGGGGAGTAGGATGGCGCGGCTACTTCTCTGCCAACGAGCGTGAGATTCGCGCGAAAGACAAGCACCTGGACCGCATTCTCAAAGCCAAGATCAAAGAGCAGCACAAGGCTTTGCTTTCGGGTGACGTCGACACGAAGACGCAGAACAAGAGCGTCGCAACCCTCAGCCTCTACGGCATCGACCGACTGACACCCCAAATCCTCCAACAAACCAGCGATACGTTACGCGGCTTCCTCTTCGCCGGCCATGACACGACATCCATCCTTCTGCAATGGGCCTTCTACGAGTTGCATACACATCCCTTCGCTACGCGAACTCTCAAGGAAGAGCTTGACAACGTCTTTGGTTCCGACACTCACCCTTCCGCCGTCGTGAAAGCGCTACGAGGCTCCGACGCGGGGTTACTCCTGAGCCGTCTGCCCTACACCGATGCGCTGATCAAAGAGACCTTACGACTCCACCCACCCGGCACGACCGCGCGCATCGCTCCACCCGCATCAAACACCATGCTCACTCTTCCCAACGGCGACACCCTCCCCATCGACGGCCTTTGCGTAACCCCACGCGCATACACCATCCAGCGCCACCCCAAGATCTTCGGCTCCACCCGCAACGACTTCGCACCCGAGCGCTGGCTCGGCGATGCCGGCAAGAGCATCCCCGAAAGCAGCTTCCGACCCTACGAGCGCGGCCCACGCCGCTGCACGGGTTCTGAACTCGCGAACCTGGAGACGAAGATCATCATCGCTTGCGTCGCGCGGCACTTTGACTTCGTCAAGCAAGGGCTTGGGGAGCTGGATCTCGACGAGAAGGGCGAGGTGCAGGTTGAGGGGAATGGCAAGGCGAAGACGAAGGGGGTGATGTTCTCGACGCATCAGGTTACGGCGAAGCCGGTTGATGGTATGGAGGTAAAGGTAAGAGTGAAGGAGTCGGGCCACGAGAGGAGGTAGATGCGACGTAAGATATAACAAGACAGGAAGTAGAGTAGAGATAGACAGAGTAGATACGAAACGTAGAGTACAATCTACTCTACTCTAGAGAACGTCTTAGGTCTGCTAGACCTAAGCAATTTTTAGTAGTACTAATTACTCTACTTATAGATCTCTTAAGATTATAAACTATAGACTAAAAGTGTAAGCTATAGTTAGTCTAACTAGAAAGACCTATAATTAGCTATATCTACTTACTATAATTATAGAAGTTAGTATTTTAGATTATATAATAAATATTAATATATAATACTATATTTCTAATTATAAAGTAGCTATTTACTTACTTTAATAGCTTTATAAAGCTTTTTAAAAAGCTCTTACTATAGTAAGAAATCTAAATAGAGTTTCTTTAGATTATATAGTCTATATATAAAACTTTATACTTAATTCTATTTAAAATAAATTTAAATATTATAACTACTTAGCTATAAACTACTTTAGATTTCTTTAAATTTCTCTAGACTACGCTAGTCTATATAAGTATAGGCTTTACTAGTTATTAAGTAGAAATCTAAATCTTAAGTAGTAATACTTATAGCTTAAAGAGCTACTAATTCTAAAGAGATAAAAACTATTACTAGTACTCTAAAGAACGTATAACTAAATCTTTTATCTACTCTTAGAGATATAGTATTAAGTAAGCTAAGACTTAGAGTCTTAGTACTACTACCTCTAAAGTAGTTAAAGCTTCTAAATCTTTTAGACTTATAAAGTAGCTATTCTAATACTTTATAAAAGAATTATAATACTAAATATCTTATAAAAGAACTTTATAAAAGAATTATAATCTAATTATATATACTTATTAGCTTATAACTAATAAAGTAATATATTCTAAAGCTTTATAGTTAGAATATATATACTAAAATCTTAGTAAAAGCGCACTTTTTCTATTCTTTATATTTCTATAGCTTTTAGAACTCTAAAGATATATTAAAAATACTAGTAGTAACTTAAAGCTAATACTTAAAGCTACACTATCTAAATAACTTTTTTATAAGTTTTTAAGGTAATTATAAGTCTAAAACTAATCTTATTTCTAGTTACGTTATACTACTACCTTACTAATACTTAACTAAATTATTTTATTATTAATCTACTTTAATTACTTTTCTCTAAATTATATTACTATTATAAAGCTACTATAAGCTACTTTATATCTACTAGAAGAAAGACTATTAGAGAGGCTATCTTAAAAGCTATTCTAGTAGCTATAGAATAAAATATTATTTATAATATAATACCTAATATTTTAAGTACTATAAGAAGTATTCTAAAATATATAAAAAGCTACTTTACTAATACTATTAAAGCTTCTAAAGCTTTTATTACTACTATTTTATAAATATATTTACCTAGCGTAAGACTATTAATTTTTCTTTTTACTAGTCTTACTATTAAAGAACTTGCTACTAATATATATAAGTTTTTCTACTACTTTAAGCTTATTATTAATATTAATTAGAGCTATTCTATTACCTTAGATATACTATAAGTCTATACTATCTATATTTATATATTTATATATAGACTAGTATTATCTATAGAACTAGGCTCTTTTAGATTTATTTCTAATACTATAAGATTATAGATTAGAGCTTTAAATAGAATTATTAGCTATTTTAATAGTATATTAAATAATAATAAGAAGAAGTTTATAGATAGTCTCTTAAGTATTACTATACTTAAGTAGATAGCTATTATAATAGCTATAAGGCTTTATAGTTAAGAATAGATAGTTATTATTATTAGATACTAAAGAGTTAATATAAAGTTATATTATAGTTAATAAAGAATAAATATAGCTAGTCTATTATACCTATTACTATATATTATCTTAGTTATTTCTAGTTATTTCTAGTTATAGTGTACTAGTGTATAAGGTATTCTTATATAAATTAGATTTTTAATAATCTAAGAATTATCTAGAAAGAGAACGTCTTTTAATAAGAGCTTTTTAGAATTATCTTATCTACTATCTTATCTTTTACTTATACTTTTTAGTATTAGACTTTTATATAATACTTTAGATAATAGAATCTTTCTAGAATAAAACACTTTTCTACTAAACTAACGTTTATATACTTTCTTACTTATACTAATTACTTTATATTCTTATAGTAGTATATCTTTATGCTCTCTAATATCTATATAAATAGTAAAGTCTATAGAAATATATTCTACTACGTAGTATAAGAAGTAGTTAGTATATATTAATATAATATATATAGTAATAATAACTACTATAAATATAATAAGTATAAACTTAGCTCTTTTCTTTAAATTAGCTAAAACTATAATAGTATTTATATTTAGGCTAACTACGCTCTTACTACTAAGTAATATTAGATAAAAAAATTGCGTAGATAAGGTAACTACTTAGAAATACTAAGAAATAGTAATTTAACTAATATCTAGAATAGTAGTATTAGAAGTATAATAAAATACTATACTAACTAGATTAGTATAATACTATAAGAGTATATTTAGAATATATAATAGTGTAGAACTATAGTTTAATAGAACTAATAATCTAATAGAGTATTATAGTAAGTAAAACGCTAAGCTATACTAACTATAAAAGTATTTAGAAAGTATTCTCTACTATTAGATAGAAGGTATTAAACACTATTAAGTATTAAGAACTTATCTTTTAATTATATAATCTCTATAGTATAATATCTATTTAGTATTTAATCTATTAAGTAAAGAAGTATTAGCTTCTTTATAAGTTATTTAAAACTATAATAACTATTAAAGAAATAGAAAAAGTATAAAGTATTAAGAAATCTAGTAATTCTTTCTTCTAAGTATTTATCTACTACTTCTTTAACTACTTTAATACTAAAAACACTAACCTACCTAAGAGAACGTCTTAGAGCTGCTAGGCCTAAGTAATTTTTAGTAGAGGCGATAAGCACTAATAAGAAATAGAGAGTAGCTCTAAACTAGTAGCTCTAAGGCTTTTAAACTATACCGCCTAAGAGCCTAGATAAAATCTAAGTAGGCTATTTTGTGCAGAATAACTGCGCGAATTTAACGCTTTACTTAGCTTGTTAATAGCTACTTACGTTGTAAAGTTATAGAGTAGAGAAGTTTAGAGCTAAATTTTAAAGTTCTTTACGTAATTACTACGCTCGCTGCTAGTACAGCCTATATATAGCTAGAATTTAGCGCTTATAGCTAAATTTTAATATCTATAGCTAAATTTTAGGCTTAAAGTAAGGCTAAAATTAGGTACCTATAGTTAGAATTAGTTACTAAATTAAGTACTTAAAATAGAGGCTTCTACAGCTAGAATTTAGCGCTTCTATAGCTAGAATTTAGCGCCTCTACAGCTAGAATTTAGCGCCTCTATAGCTAAAAAAAAGCGCTTTTACAGCTAATTTTAATACCTATAGCTAAATTTTAGGCTTAAAGTAAGGCTAAAATTAGATACCTATAGTTAGAATTAGTTACTAAATTAAGCACTTAAAATAGACGCTTCTATAGCTAGAATTTAGCGCCTTTATAGCTAAAAAAGAGCGCCTTTATAGCTAATTTTAACGCCTATAGCTAAATTTTAATATCTATAGCTAAATTTTAGGCTTAAAGTAAAGCTAAAATTAAGCGCCTATAGTTAGAATTAGTTACTAAATTAAGTACTTAAAATAGGCGCCTCTATAGCTAGAGATTAGTGCCTCTACAGCTAAAAAAGAGCGCCTTTATAGCTAATTCTAACGCCTATAGCTAAATTTTAAGCTTAAATTAAAGCTAAAATTAAACGCCTATAGTTAGAATTAGTTACTAAATTAAGTACTTAAAATAGGCGCCTCTATAGCTAGAGATTAGTATCTTTATAGCTAAAAAAGAGCGCCTTTATAGCTAATTCTAACGCCTATAGCTAAATTTTAATATCTATAGCTAAGTTTTAGGCTTAAATTAAAGCTAAAATTAGGCGCCTATAGTTAGAATTAGTTACTAAATTAAGTATTTAAAATAGGCGCCTCTAGTGTTAAATTTAGTGCCTCTATAGCTATATATACTTTATTATACTTAGTGTTAGTAGCTAGCTAACCTAGAATATTATTTCTCTAGCTCTAGAGCGCGCTAGCTCTACCTTCTCTTATTATATCTTACTACTTAATGTTTTTATCTTTCTATCTACCTTTTTACTAAATTACGCCTTAGGCACCTACTTTATCTTACTATAGTACACTACCTTTATATCTACTTACTTACGCTCTCTCTTTTACTAGAATTATATTAACTAAGTACGCTTACTTTAAAATTAATACGTTTTCTCTATAGACGTAAGCTCTACTACTACTCTAATCTACTTTTCTACTACCTTTATACTCTTATAAGAAGCTTAGAGTACCTAATTTCTTTAAGCCTAGTAGTAGTGTAATAACTACTAGCTCTCTTATACACTAGAGTACTACTAGCTCTTCTAAATAATAGAGTACTACTAGCTTTTCTAAACTATAGAGTACTACTAGCTCTTATAAATACTAGAGTACTACTAGCTTTTCTAAACTATAGAGTACTACTAGCTTTTATAAACACTAAAGCACTTTACTTTCTACTACGCTCTTCTATACTAGTACTATTACTACACGCTATAGTAATCTTACGTAGATAGCTAAGTAGCTATTCTATAAATTTAAAAAGAGTACTATCTATATTAGATCTCTTATATAGCTTATTTACTACTATACTAAGAAGATTATAGTTATCTATAAAGAAAAGAAATATTTTATAATATTAGCTATACACTATAAGTAAGAGGTAACTAAAGCTAAGAGTAAAGTTAAATTATACTATAATAAGATGTAGAGCGCATATAGAGATAGTAAGAGATACTAGAAGTAGGTTAAATTCTACTATAAGATAGTATATAGAGCTTATAATATTATTAATAAAGCTATTTATCTACGCTCTACTAGCCTATCTAAGTTAGATAGGTTAATTAGTAA